AAGGGTGTCATAAGGAGGAGGGAGAAAACTTGTTCACCTTAGCCTCTGAGGATAGAACAAGAAGCAATGGGCTTAAACTGCAGCAAGGGAGGTCTAGGTTGGACATTAGGAAAAAGTTCCTAACTGTCAGGGTGGTTAAACACTGGAATAAATTGCCTAGGGAGGTTGTGGAATCTCCATCTCTGGAGATATTTAAGAGTAGGTTAGATAAATGTCTATCAGGGATGGTCTAGACAGTATTTGGTCCTGCCATGCGGGCAGGGGACTGGACTTGATGACCTCTCGAGGTCCCTTCCAGTCCTAGAATCTATGAATCTATGAATCATAGACTTTAAGGCCAGAAGGGGTCAAAATGATAATCTAGTCTGACCTCAGCCTCACCCACCCCCTTCTGTAGTAGGCCCATACCTCTGGCTGAGTTAGTGAAGTCTTCAATGAATGAGCTTTATTTTAATAATCCATGGTATACTTCAGTTCTAACAATATAATGACATTGTCCTTTATTAGACATCTATATTTTACAATTAATAATTAAAGCTGTTACTGGTTTAAAAAAAAGAGCGTTCTTCATTTGAGTAGCGCTGTCAAAAATTTTATAGAACTTTTTTAATAGGAAAATGCTGATTCATCAAAATCAAAACGTTCCATGGGAACGTCACTTTTGACAAAATATTGTTTTAAAAAAATTGAAGCATTTCAGTAAAGTCAGAACATTTTGCTTTTCATTTCAAAATTTTATTTCATATTTAATTTTATTTTTATATTTTTATTTTATTTTAAATAAAATATTTTAAAAAATGAAAAATTTAAAACCAAAATGTTTTGATTGACCCAAAACAAAAAAGTTTGAAAAATTTTGTTTGGTGAGAAAATTTCAAAATTTGATAATTTTGTTCCAATTCAGAATGAAATGCTTTTGAAAAAATGGAATTCCTGTGAAATGCAAATTCCTGACCAGCCTACAAGAATTACACACACACACACACACACACACACACACACACACACACACACACAGAGTACAGGGACTACAACTTTGTTCTTAAAAATTAAAAATCATGTAGCAAATGAATAAATAAATACATTGGGTACAAATGTCAATAGAAGAAAAAAACAGACACAATTAGTACTGAATACTCTTGCATACAGTACAGTCATGCATTCAGAAGCATGCTCTGGTTGGAGTTTTGCCCTTGATTTCTTTGGGAGCAGGAATCGGTGTGGGTAAATGCTTTTTTAAATAGAGATATTCTGAGTTTCTGACATCCTTTAAAAAAAAAAAATCTTTTTTTTTCATTGTAACGATGTTTCGTGTCTCCTTGTTGCTATTCCACTCAAAGCCAATAAGGCTTTTTCCCCGGAACAGAAAGTGTGCCAGAACATTTGCTGTTAAAATTTCATAAGCAATCCACTATCTTTGTGTTCATAATTACACTTATACATTGGGTTGATCCTGCAATCTATTCCACCATGCAGAGCAAGGAATGCAATGTGTTTGCACTCCAGCACAAGTGCAAACAGTGGTTATGTGTGGCACAAAGTAAGGTATTGTCTTGCAGTGGAAAGTGGTCTCAAACAGCTGCTGCTCTTGTTTTCTTTTTTTGCAGAATGCATGGTAAAATAGAGTAGGATAATCTGGGTTTCAACGCTAAAGAGACATGTAGCTATGTGACCATTGTAGGGCCTATTCCAAAGCCCAGTGAAGTCAGTGGGAATCTTTCTGTTGATTTCAGTGTGGGCTTGGATGAAGGTATTAGGCTTTACCCCTGCTGATAGACAGGATTAGCTTTCTTGGCATGCAGCAGCAGGCTCATTCATGCAGGACTAGTTTTCCTTGAGCTTATATGCACAACACTCCACACCTTTGCTGTGCACCATCAAACCCTTAAATTGCTACAACTTGTATATTATCTTTTGTCAAAGATCAGTGTGGAAAGGTGAATTTTCCTGTATATGCTGCTGTTATAATAATATTTCAATATCTTGTTTGTTTAAAGTACTGCATTTCAGCTACTAGACTATTGAAAGAGAAGCTGCTACTATTTACCTATTGCTTTCTAAAATGTTTTTAGGCAAGAAGTTCCAGATGGAGATGATTTTGACTTAATATTAAGAGACTGTGCAGCTTCAGCTCCAAATCCAGAAGTACATAATTCATTGTGGTATGATTGTGAAGTGTGGGATACAGAAAATCAGGGGCAAAGAAAAATAGCTGTTCATTTTGTAAAACATGATGAGCTGCTTCAAGAGCCAGAAGATACTTTGATTATGGTACAAGGTAAGATAATTATATTACAGTTATACCACCTAGGATGGCGCAGTGGACTTTACCACTAGAAATTTAGGATTTAAGTATCTCTGATTTAAAAACAAAAAGTTAGTTAGTGAGTTGTATTTAAAAACAAGCATACGCATATTAGAATCAGCTTTAAGTGATGGTAAAATCCATTAGAATTTTAGGGTTAGAGGTGATTGGTTGAGTCTCTGAAGTTTTCAGATAAAATTTATTGCAAAAATAGTGGGTTTGGATTTCTGTAAACCAGACAGGAGTCAGATACCTTTGTATCTGATAAATCCAAACCAAGAAGCTTATTGATGATGCAGTTTTAAAAAAAATGTACTGTCTCCAGCTGGGCTTTTAGGTAGGTACAGATCTGATTTGGAATGGTGATTGCAGTCTTACCAAAAATCTTCAAACGTGGCTGGATAAATAAAAGGCTTCTGATAATGCAAACCCACTATATACTTTGTCAGCCTCTGGATGTCAGTGTTGTGTCACATAAATAAAGCTGAAGCAGTGTGCTTTTTATCTGATTGCTTTTTAGGGGGAGAGAAAAAAAGCCACCTAACTTTAAACAAAGCAATTTAGGTAAAGATATAAATAAGGATGTTTGGATAGAATATAAGTAAGAAATTTTTGCACAGCTTCACAGTCTGAATTTAAAACAAGGGCACAGTATCCAAGTGGATCAATGTGGAGGGGCAAGGGTGAGTCAGTTGGCCCTTTCCATGGACAGATCATTAGGGTTAATGACAAAGCCCCTTCTGTTTGCTACTTAGTTTATTATCTGACTAGTTTCAACAGTAGTCTGCTTTGTGGTGTGTCCTCAAATTCTTCAATCTGTTGATATAATTTTCTTCCTTTGTAAAAGCCCTGTCTCCCCAGTTCTGTGTCTGTTTTTTTTTTCTTCTCCTAAAATAACCAAACCATATACCTTGCTCTGCAAATCATTGGAAGATATTAAAGCCCCAGCAGCTGAATGTTTGAGAGAGAGCATGTGGAGTGGAAGTGAAAGACACAATTGTAAATCTTCATATATTTACTAAAAGAAACTTTAGCTGACCAGTATTTCAGTTCATTTTCTCCTTCCGAATACTGACAATGGAACGTGTCTAAAAAAGATGGCTACTCTCAGAATTTGGGCTTTTTACTTTTTTCATTTACAAGTTCTGGGAGGAATTTTGTGTGTGTTTTCAGATACATCCTTCCTTAATTTCTCCACATACACACAACAGCAGCTATTCTTCTGGCCAAGTAGATCTAAATATTACTCTTGGTGTTGCATAAGCAGCTTGCTTTAGTACAGTATGAGATCCTCCCTTCCCCGGGAAACCAGATGCTGAGCCATGTTACTTCCACAGGATTTTTTTTGCCTCTGTTGAGCTGAGAGTTGAGATAGAGCTAAATCCAGGAAACAGATCCACTGCTAGGTCAGCCTTTATTTAAACAACTTTTAATGAACATAAATAAAACTAATTTGTAGCAAACCTTAAAAAAGGTGGAGTTTAAGATATTGATTACATTTAGATTAATATGTACTATTCATTTACTTCCATTTTTATCCAGTAAATTCACTCTGATTCATTTCAAATTACAGCTATTGTTACTCCGACAAATTTGTTGATGTTGATTTGTTAGTACACTGAAATCATTGTCTAGATTGACTTTATATTCCAAATACCTTTAAATTATGGAGGCATCCCAATGGTTCCATAGTTAAGGCTGTACTGAGTTTTATGCTTAACGCATGATTTAAATCCTTCGTCTGACCGTAACATTTCAAGCATTGTGTTCTGAAGAGGTTGTTGCTATGGCAGTGGACTGGATTCTATTCTTGGCTCTGCTATGTAACCCTGAGCAAGTCACTTCATGTCTCTGTGCCTCTATTCCCCTCCCAAGCTTTATTCATCTTTTATGGTTACATTGTAGGTAGGTACTGTCTCTTACAATGTATTTGTACAGTGCCTAGCACAGTGGGGCCCTGATCTGGTTGGCTTCTCTAGTCATTCCTGCATGATAAATAACAGTAATAATAATACTAAAATATATGAGACAAAGCCATAGTTCCTATAATAATGCTTTTGTAAGATCTTAAATCTAATTTAAGCTAAAGTTGTTTTTGCAGAAAGTTACTTATTTCAGAAAATTCACTCATATATTTCTTTCCTATTATCCATTCAGGAACTAATTAGTTCAAAAGTTATTTAGCCAAAAACTAGTGGTTATTAGGTGCATAACAATAATTACAGGGTTAAGTGTATCAAACTGGTTCTTGAAATTACAAGGAAACACAATTACACTGGTCTGAGGTCAGAGTGTTTCTAGATTCAATCCAGCAACCATATCAAACAAACACTGCTATGATTGATGGACCTGTGATCATGTTAAGAAATGACATCTCTGTATCTCTAAGGGATAAAATGCATGTCTTATGATACTAGACCAGGCTGGGCAAACTATGGCTGGTGGGCAAATTACGGCCCATCGGACCTTTTAATCCGGCCCTCAAGTTCCTGCTGGGGAACGGGGTCGGGGGGCTTTGTACGGCTTCTAGAAGTAGCACCATGTCCCCGCTCCAGCTCCTATGCGTAGGGGCAGCCAGGGCCAGGGGGCTCCACATGCTGCCCCCACCCCAAGCACTGCCCCCCACAGCTCCCATTGGCCAGGAACCATGGCCGTGCCCCTGCCCCTTCCCTAATCCCCCTCCCGCCCTCTAAACCCCTCAGTCCCAGCCTGGAGCACCCTCCTGCACCCCAAGCCCCTCATCCCCAGCCCCACTCCAGAGCCTGCACCCCCAGTACGGAGCCCCCTCCCACACCGTGAACTCCTCATTTCTGGCCCCACCCCAGAGCCCTCACCCCCTCTTGCACCCCAACCCCCAATTTTGTGAGCATTCATGGCCCAGCATACAATTTCTATACCCAAATGTGGCCCTCAGGCCAAAAAGTTTGCTCACCCCGTACTAAACTCAGGTAGCTTCTCCAGTAATATAAAGCATTCATTTCTAGTTTTGGTAAGTTACCAAGTAGTACTTAAAATCATATTATTATGTTTACTACTGTGTTGCATTTTTCCCCTCACTTCAGTTCTGATACTGTTTTAACAGCTACTTGTTCTCATATTGCTAGCTAAAATGTAATATTTTCTACCACTTAAAAGCTGGAATGTCAAGCTGTTTTCTAGTGGAATAAAGCGTATTCTAGTTCTGGTTGTTCTCAAGATAACAGCCACTAAAATTGCTGGAAATGTAGTGAAAGAAAAAGCAAAGTGTAACCCGAATAAAGTTACTTTAAGGTCTGCTATCTTGTTAGCTACTATTGTTGTTATGAAATATATTTAAAACATATGTTATGGTAACTTACAACTTTGATTGCACATGTAACACATGTGGTTGTGTTAACATTTTGCTGTCTTTGCATGAAGTGATGAGTCACTTAAAATTTTGTGTGGTTGTTCCTATACTTTTAATACATGCAGTACATTAAGGAGTTCCATCAACACTGGCCTGCATATAGTGATGAATTACAGATGCTGAAATGGATATCCAATAGGCCAAGAAAGATGAATCAAGTAATTTAGCATTAAATACAATTAAGAAAACATTTTTTTTCTGCTTTTAACAGGGGGGACGCTAAAAGAAATCAGAAAACTTTCAAGAAGATTTAAATGTATTATACCTGTGAGATCAACGAAAGAAGATCTTGAGTTACTAGACCTTTCAGCTCCCTTCCTTTTGCAAGGGAAAATATGGCATTATGGGTAGGTTTAAAAAAAAAAGTCTTAATAGTTTAGAAATGGTTGCAATTAATAGATGTATAGAAAGTTAGTTTGTTTCAGTAACTTAAATTCCAATGTCAATTGCAAACAAGTATAACTTTACCTTCTAAAGCTTGTTCTTGAAAAGAATTGTCCATGACAATTTCAAAAATTAAAATTGTATGGAAGAAGAAGACATTGATCTGGAGCCTGAACGTGAAACTTATGCTACCACCACTATAGTTAAGAGAAAAGAAACTTACATTATACACTTCTGTATTCAGGAGTTGTCAGCTTTTTTTTTTTTTTTTTTTTTAATTACCCCATTAGGTTAAAAATAGCTTATTCTCAGCCCACAGAATTTCCTATAATTCTTTGGATGGTAGCGAGGGGTAGGAGGGTTTCCTCAAGGGTCAAGGCTTCTAGGAGGCGGTGGGTATAGGAGCTCATGGGCCAGGAGGGTCAGGCTGCTAGAGGTGTCAGTGCTTGACTATATGCATATATGCCCTCCTATGCACTTTAAATGATGTGCTACAGCCTCTACTTGATGGTATGAAAAGATGGTTATTTGAACTTATCAGTTTTTTCTGCTTTAAAAAATAGAAAAGCTCTTGGCCATCAAGAGATGCCTACTTACATGCCTCATTGAGGCTAAGGCATTGGTGATACCTTAGGTTCCTGCTGGGCACAGGTCATCACCAGTACAAAGTACCACCCTTTGAGCTTTCAGCATGCCCCATGTGATCACTAACTGTTTGGCAGCTCAGCTTCGTAGATGGGGCCTGAAAGTGTTTCCTTGTTCCTAGATGTCTGTCTCATAAGAGCCCAGTCTTATAACTCTGCCCTACAGGAGATATTTTCCCTCTTTAAATCTTTGGGTTTTACTGTAAACATTGAAAAATCACACTGGTTCCTACACAGTCTTTCACCTTCCTAGGGGCCACCTTAGATATGACAAGAGCCCTAGCTTTTTTGCCCCAGGACAGGTTTTGAGATCTTCTTCAGGCAGTAAACCTAGTTAGGTCCAGAGGAGCAGGGGCAGTAGTTTTGCATTTGGCCTGATGGCAACTTGTACCCTTGTTGCCCTCTTTGCATGAGTATGGATGTGTCCCTTGCAGAGGTGGTTGAGTCTACTGTGCAGACCAAATGATGGCCTGTACATGATAGTTTCCCTTATTCAGAAGGTTTTGTGATTCTCTTTTGTAGTGAAAGCTCCCAAAGTTTGTCTCAAAGAGAAGCCCATCCCACAGCCAGCACCTTGAATAATGGTAGGCACAAAGGCCTCCAAACTTGGGAGCTCATTTAGGAAACTTGAAGGTTTATGATGTTTCAAAGTCTCACTTGTGTGTACTTATCAAAGCATAACAAGTTAAGACCTTTACAGTAATATCAAATATGCACCAAGGTATGGTTAGTGTAGGGGCTATCCTTGAATTCCCTGACGTCTGTACATTTAAAATCTCAGCCTTTGCAATTGTCATTAACGGTCTTACATTTAATCTGTGTAGAATGTTTGGGTATTATCTTATTGCCCGTTTAGTTGTCCTAACTTTGAATGCCATATATTCTATGTAACATATTTAAAAGGTATGAATTATTTTCCTGCAACGTATTAAACCAAATTCTGCTATAATTTACTCCACGGTAAAACTGGAGTGATTTTATTGATATCTGCTTCACACCAGTGTAAGTGGGAGCAGAATTAGGTCCACTGATTCTACATGACAAATTTGCTTTTAAAGCTAATCTTAAAGATAATGAATGTCAATTTTATGTTACAAATGTAACATATTAGCACAGAAGCTTATTTTGAGGAGAGAATAATGCTACCGTAACTTTGTTTCTTGGGGCAAAAGAAAACAACTTTATATGGACATCTCTCAACGTAAGATATTTTTATCCACTTACAGAATTGTAGTTGCGGTCTTACATCCTGTAAAAGTTTGATGATGATACATTACTACTCCAGGAATAAAAAGGAGAGGTTCTTTTAATAACTTATAATTACAATATTTTAGGCACAGGTTAAGACAAATTCCTATACTAATAATCGTATAATCCTATTGTGTTTTTAATACATAGTAGAGTTTCAGATTTATTACTGCTCTTACAAAATGGCACTTTGTATGTATTATTAAACCACAAAAAGTGCTAATGTACGAATATGTGCTCAGTTGGTATTGGTGCACAGTTAGCCTTTGTTATTCAATTAGGCTCTTTCATGGGTCAAAATAACTTACTTTTTGTAGCTGGTGATTCATAAGGAGCATTAATGTGGTTTAGTACTTTAGATGTTGAATGAAGCTTCTCCGCCTTAAAAAATCTGATTTGTCAACTGTGGATCTTTTCATAGTGGAGGCAGTTTGCATCCCCACTGAGTAACTTTATTTGAATACAAGTTTGTCGCATCTGACGCGCATTTAACATGCGCGATTTCAGCTTTATGCGGTCGGCAAAAACAAAAAGAGAAAAATAACAATTTTAATACTGTAGCTGTAGTGCAGGCGATTCCGCCTGCCATTACACTCAATGTAATTTTGACTATACACAATTTTCGCTTTACGCGCTGACTGCGGAACGTAACCCCAGCGTAAGATGCGACAGACCTGTAAACGTGTTTGGCGCAGAATGAAACAGCTAATAGTTCATCACCTTGAAGTCTGTACACTATCAGCATTTTATTTTAAATGTCAGGTGCAAACAGTGTTCGAATCAGAAGACTATCCAGAGTCTCAGTTCCCTTGCAGAAGAAGAACCATCGTGGGAGCCAACTGAAATAGCACGAGGTTAGCTAACATCATTATGACCTGAAATAGATTGTGCCTTGATCCTTAAGGTAGATACAAATTGTCTCACTGAATGGATTACACTTTTGCTTAGATCTTTATATATCCTATGGATGCATATGTATTTGCATTTTGTGGGCTGGAGTTAAATATATGATTACCTTTTTAAAATATTATATTAAAGACGAACTGAAAAACTTTTTACCTGTCAGAATGTGAGATCATTGTTTAGTGTTTATTCTGCACTAGGTGGCATTTTTAACAATTAAGATAGTGTAGGTGTAACGAATCTTTGGTTACATACTTATAGATGTCTATTGTGAGCTATACACAAATATGTAGCATCAGGAATAAAATTTGTACCATTCACAAGTCTTCCACTTGAGCCAAATGTGACTCTTCCTTAGCTGTGAGTGATAGTAAGGTTTGTATCTTTTGTAAACACTACCATTAGAGGACATAAACACTAGCCTACTACATAACCCAAGGAATTGGTGAAAAGTTAATCGCCCAAGTCAAAAGGGTTTGAGCCCCTAATTCTCCTTTCTGCTTTTGAAAATCTCCCTATCTATTCCTTGTGTTGTTTTAGGTAGTCTCATCAACTGATGGAAAGAAAATAGAGCCCTGGGAAATACAATGGGTAAAGAAGATAACGGTTTGAACTGTTTCTAAATTAAATTATTTTAAATCAGTTCACATCCTAATAAGGATTTGCAATCTCAAGCAGTATCTAAGTCTGACTGATTTTATTAAAGAATACAAACTACTGCAGAAGCATGATGTGTCTCACAAATATCCTCTCATGTTTATTCTGTATTAATAAATGTAAGCTAACACATAATTTACAGTATCAAATTGTGTTCATTAGAAATGTACTCCCCCCCCAAATAAAAAAAAACTAAATTCATTAAATGAAAGCTTTCCAACAAATTAAATAAAAGCAGTGGTTGGGAGATTTTTAATTCCTCACAGCATAATTCAGCAACATACCAATGTGGCTACTGCATGAAAACCAATTTTGTCTGGCCAAATAAATAGCTTTGGTTTGGTTAGATTGAACCCTTTGCTTTCAGAATGTACTGCCCTGACATATTTTAGTCACTGAGTGGTTGGATCATGGCAGCATAAACAGTGTAGGACTATCCAAAGTACCATGGAGTACATTTCTTTTTTTATAGGTAAATACTTGATCAACTATTTAAATTTTTTTTCCCAGAATTGTTTAATTTAAGATAGCACAGATATAAAATGGGAAGATATATAAATGTCTGTAATACAAGAGTAATGCATATAATATATAACTAATATTTCCATAAGAATTTCTGAGTTCATTTGAAAAATATGAAGGTTCACATGAAAAATATGAAGGTTCATAAGACAAGAAGTGTGTTAAGAAGCATCAGTTGTTTATATTCAAATATCTATGGGTTCTTACGAGTCCAAAGTGCAAAGTCTTCCCTATTTTACAATTGTGGACTCCTTTTAATGGAGTCTAAACTCTTACTAAACAAAATTTCCTGAAAGTGACCTAGTCTGGAATCATCAGGAGAAACTGAATAAGTGATATGTAAACAGGTCATCCACCTTTTTCTTTGAAGAAACTTCAACAGTGTTTCTGTAGAGATGTCTATTCTCACATAACTTCAAACATATATTGCAAGCAGTTATTTTTACTTACTTTTAAAAACAAATTGATAAAATATGTGAATATATTTCTAGTTTTAACTGATTATAAATCATTTGCGCATAGAATCAGAATAATAGAAATGTATGACTGGAAGGAACCTCGAGAGGTTATCTAGTCCAGCCCTCTGTGCTGAGGCAGGACCAACTAAACCTAGACCATCCCTGACAAGTGTTGTCTAACCTGTTCTTAAAAACCTCCAATAACAGGGATTCTTTAACTTTCCTTGGAAGCTTATTCCAGTGCAATTTTTTTTGTAATATCTAAGCTAAATCTCCTTTTCTGCAGAGTAAGCTCATTACTTCTTATCCTGTCTTCAGTGGATTTGGAGAACAGTTGATCACCATCCTCTTTGTAACAGCCCTTAGCATAGTTGAAGACTGTTACCAGGTCCCTCCTCAGTATTCTCTTCTCAAAATTAACATGCCCATTTTTTTTAACCTTTCCTCATATGTCAGGTTTTCTAAACATTTTATCATTTTTGTTTCTGGACTCTCCAGTGCCACATATTTCTTAAAGTGTGGCACCCAGAACTGGACTCAGTACTCCAGTTGAGTCTTCACCAGTGCCAAGTGGAGGAGGACAACTACCTCTCATGTTGTACTACATATGATATTCCTGTTTATACACCCCAAAATATTAGCCTTTTTCACAATTGCATCACGTTGACTCATATTCAATTTGTGATTCACTTAAACCCCCAGATCCAGACTCCACTTTAACCCCCATATTTCTGCAGTGCTACTCCTTAGCCAGTTATTCCCTGTTTTGTAGTTGTGCCTTTGGTTTTTCATTCCCAAGTGTAGTACTTTCCACTTGTCTTTTGCTGAATTTCATCTTGTTGATTTCAGACCAATTTTCCAATTTGTCAATGTCATTTTGAATTCCAATTCTGCCCTCCAAAGTGCTAGCAACCCCTCCCAGTTTAGTGTCATCCACAGATTTTACAAGCAAGCTTTTCACTCCATTATTGAAGTCATTAATGAAAATATTAAATAGGACCAGACCTTGGACAGGCCCCTGCAGAACCCCACTAGGAATCTCAAGCAATATTCAAAATATAAACCATACACAGACTCTTAATTAAAGATTGCCAGGAGAGAGTATAATTGGTAAGTAGTTGCAATAATTATATACATTATGTACATAGTTTTGAATCTTTTTTGTTTGACAGATGACATAGTTAATATCAGTGGGAGAATGTACCTAGCCATTGAATTTTCACAGATGGGTTTAGTTAATTTCAGAGTACCAGTCAGGCAGCTTTTTTTATTTGAGTAGTACTTGCCCAGAAATTTTAACTACATCATATGGAATAAATTGTTTTCCCGTAGATAATATATTTCACCAAATATATTGCCGTATGTTAGTTTAGAACACGATCCTGTTATCATTGAACCAAAGGCAAAACTCTCACTGATTTCAGTGGAAGATCAGGCAGAAAGAGATCCTACCACATAGTCAGAAGTTAGGATGTATGCAAACATTTGCAACATTTTTACTAAAGAGAAAAGAGGTACTTTAGAGCAGTGGTTCTCAAAGTCGGTCCGCCGCTTATTCAGGAAAAGCCCCTGGCTGGCCAGGCCGGGCCGGGCCGGTTTGTTTACCTGCCGTGTTCGCAGGTTCGGCCGATCGCGGCTCCCACTGGCCACGGTTCACCGCTCCGGGCCAATGGTGGCTGCGGGAAGGGCGGCCAGCACATCCCTCGGCCCGCGCTGCTTCCCGCATCCCCCATTGGCCCAGAGAGGCGAACTGCGGCCAGTGGGAGCCGCGATGGGCCAAATCTGCGAACGCGGCAGGTAAACAAACCAGCCCGGCCTGCCAGAGGCTTTCCCTGAACAAGCGGCAGACCAGCTTTGAGAACCACTGCTTTAGAGCATTTTCTGTATTTTTCTAAACTCTTGAGCAAAACTGAATTTCCATTCTAAAGTGGCACTCTATACGTAAATCTTTCTGAGCATCTCATTTTACCTGCAACACAAAATGTTTTCACTTAGTGTATAATAACATTGTCATGAATCCTATATGTAGAGCTATGTGAAATTTTTAGTGAAAATACATTTCACTGAAAAAATGCAGATTTGCTTCAAGCAAAACAATTAGCAAATTCAAGTAGATTTTGGTTAATTTTTTGTATTGGTGGGAGGAGAGAGACGAAAAAACAACTTTTCATTTCAGAAATGCATTTTGTTTTGGAATTTCCCTCAATTTTTTATAAATATAAAAACCTTGAAATCAAAACAAAATGTCTGGTTTTAGGCTGAATGAAACATTTCCATTGTTTGCTTAAAAAAAACCCTCAGAAATGTTTTGTTTCAGGTCAACCTGAAAAGATTTTGTTGTTTAGTTTTCGGTTCAGTGTTGAACTGAAAAATCTGTTATTCGCACAGCTCTAATTATAAATCCACAACCTCCACCCGTCCAAGTATCTGATTATATTTTAAAATTATAATCGTACAATAAGTCACATAATTAAAAGCAAGTCATTTCAATTACCTTGTGTTGTGATAATTTTGTCTTGAATATTCAGTACCTAAAGCAAAATATTTTTCCCACACTAGTTTTAGGTATTGAGCCACTCCAGTATGTCTTTGTTATGAAGTTTACACTTGATGATGGCACAGGAGCACTGGATGCATACCTCTTTGACTATGTAAGTAAACAGAGAGTAAAAAGATGATGGTTCTTGTTAAGTATGGTCTCAGAGATGTTTGCATGTGTATATGAATTTGTGCATTCTCTTTGTCATATCCAGTATTTTAAAACAAACTATTATAATGAATGTACAAATTATTAGCACTATCCACTGGTGAAAATGCTGTTTAGGTCAATATCAGATAAAAGGTAAAATGGGAGAAAAATGTGTGTTCAAGTCTTAAAATGGACTGAAGAGAGGAACTGGAGTGGGGGATGTGACCCCCCCACACACACACACCAGGGCACAACCTGGACTGTGGGACTGCTGTGTTCCCTTTAACTCTCTGGATCATGGTACTCTTACACTGCTCTGCTAGTGACTAGCAGCCCCTTCTGGCTTTGCTCTCACACAGCCATTAGCATATGAAGGCACACCCAAAGTTACATGCAGGCTCTCACAGCCTGTCATGAACTATACACAGGGAGACGCCAGCAAATCCCCCCAGCCCCAGTCTTGCACCCCAGAAATGTACCGTCTTGCACTGATCAAGAAGGTCTTGAGCATTGTAAGCTCATTAATTAATTCACCACTCCTTCAAAGGATAGTGGACGTGCCCCAGCCTTTGTAATCTGAGCAGATTCCCCAAGTTCTTTAGACAAACTCACTGGTAAAGATAAAAGATTAAAATAAGTTTATTAACTACAAAAAGATAGATTTTAAGTGATTATAAGTGGTAGGCATAGAGGTCAGAGTTGGTTACATAAGAAATAAAAGGTAAAATTTAAGTTTAAATCATAAACTTTATCAAACTAAGCAAGAGTTGAATCAAGCAGTTTTTCTCGCCCTACTCTGGAGTTGCAAGCAGTTCACAGTTCTTAATACACAGGCTGAATTCCCTGCTCAGCCTGGAACCAATTTCCCAGTTCAAAGTCTTTTCTGCCAAAGTCTTGTTGCCTTCAGAGTAGGTGGGGCAGAAAGAGGCAGACTCTTGATGCCACTGTCCCTTATTTTATATGCTCAGTTCATATTCCTGGAAAAATACTGACTCAAACATGGAGTCAAGCATCACCTGTCCTGATACCTTGTTGAGTCACTGAGTTAAGCAATCCTCATTGTGTAGAGCTTGAGGAACTGTCTCTTATTGAATTGTAAATCTCTTGTTTGCAATTCCCCTGCTGGTCAACGGCTAGTGAGGGTTGCTTTTAACACACATCTGGGTGTGGGTTACCCCCTTTGTTGCCATTGAAGAGCTTGCTATCGGCATCTCCTAGACTCTCAACATATTTCAGTAACAACCATGTAGCAAAATCTCATAACTCCATATACAATGATGATATACATATTTTGACAGAACAATGAGTTTCAGCAAATCATGAGTTTTCATAGGATACCTTACAGGGCATTCTTTGTACAAAATATCATAACCATGCACAAGTGGTGAATATGGGGGGTACAAGATGCAATTTTGAAGTACAATATGTCACAGGGGTATTCAGCACTCTGTGTTTCCACAAAGTCCCTGGCTGAGCTGGCTGAGTTTCTCTCTGTCATGGTGTTAAAACACCCTGTCTGATTGCTTTTGATGTGATGATTGAGAGTCATTGAGAATGACTTTTTTGGGGGGGTTAGCTCAGGATTTTATGACTACTCTGACAACTCTGTTTCCTTACTGGATAGATTCCAGCCAAAGCCATATAGCTGTCCATTCTCTAAATCTAGTTTTTTGATCTAAAGGTCTGAGTAGTGTGGGCTCTTGCTTGTCGTGGACTGACTAGTGCCTTCTAGGTTGTATTCAGCTAGCCTCCAAATAAATGTTAGTCCCTGCCCCCAGAAAGATTATTGTTTGCCTTACCTAGACACTTGGTCTCCACATTTAACATAAGATTATACATTCACTCTTAGTGACTTTACACACTTTGCTTAAATTACGTGTCTCCGTTTCTCAATTTTCTAAAATAGAAATAATATTGGCCTGCCCATGGGAATGTGAGGGATTAACTAAATGATTCTAAAGTGCTATGTAAAGGTGAAGTATTATTTTTCATATGCATATGTAATAGATATATAACTTTGTGGAAGTAATGGAAGATCCTATTTCATACATTCATGATGGCAAAGTTAAATTAGTTGTGAGTACTCTGCATGTCCTAGATTTTGAGTAGCTGGGCCTGCATGTTTCATTTATATACCCTGTTTCCCCGAAAGTAAGACAGCCCCCGAAAATAAGACCTACTTCCAGTTTTGCCTCTCGCTGTAATATAAGGCATCCCCCCGAAAATAAGACCTCCCCGATAATAAGGCCACCCCGGAATATAAGGCCCCGAAGCTCCAGGAAAAATAAGACCTCCCCTGAAAATAAGACCTAGCGCATCTTTGGGAGCAAAAATTAATATAAGACACTGTCTTATTTTCGGGGAAACAGGGTAGTTGTTTGCATGCAATAGACATTTATTTTGGCTGTCCTTTTGGTTGTTGCATACCTGCTGATAATTTCAGGTAGGAATGTAAATGTTAAGAAGTATGAGGGCTTTGATAAGATGAATAGATGCTGATAATACTAATCTAATATAACATTATATTTGTAATATATTACACTGCAGCTTTGGAATTAACTAAAGCCAGTTGGGCTTTTTGGTCCCTGTGTTTCACAGCTTGGGACAACCTGACCTCAAATACATACAAATTAATATATACGTATATTTTTACCCACTGTGTCAAGTGGCAATAAGGGGGAAATGTTTTCCCATTTCTTTTCTTTAACGCATTCTGTATAACAGGTTAAAAGGCTCTTCTCTTAAAATATGAAGGCCTTTAGCTGCAAAGGAAGCTGAAGCCCAGCAATCCCCACTTTCTTCTCTTTTTTCCTTTCCACTGCCCCTCTCCCCTTCTTTGAAAGCTGTTCTTTTAAATTGAGAAACTAATCTGGGGGAGCTGCTGACTGCTACAACTGAGTTGCAGGGGGAAAAGGCAGTTTTCTTTTGAAGTGTAACCTGCACTTCAAAAGGAAACTGCCACTTTCTTCTGCCCAGACTAAGGTGCTCCAGGAGTGCTTGAGAAGAAGCTGGGTTGCTTTGAAGTGTAACTTTAAACTACCTTCCAGTCAGATTTCTATAGTAACGCTCCCAGTTCATTTTCTTAACCTGATAGTCTAAGTTAAAGGAGCTGGGGAGAAGAGTCAGGAAAAATTAAAGTGTGAGTTGAAAATGTGTCTCTTTTGCCATAAACAGTTGTTATTTAACAGTTATATTATAGTGCCATCTAGAGGTCGACCAGAAAGGAACCCATTTTGCTAGGTGACAGGTCAGCTGGGCTCCGGGGAGAGAGAGTCGAGATTGGCCAAGAAATGTGGGGGAAAGAGGAACAAAATGAAAGTCTGGTCAAAGTTATGTTAAAATAATTATGCTGTAGTGAAAATTGTTGGGAAAAGGCGTTATACAGTTCCCCTTCTGTTTTATTTCATCGTCTACTTGGGCTACTTTTTACAGTGGGAAGATAAATTGTGTAAAACCCACCCATGTCTCTTTTCAAACTGAAGAATGAAATTCAAAACGAGAGTTCTACTTGCATAGGTTCAGATTCCGACACCCATCCTCCTGTTTAGTGATATCTTACTCCTCAGGATTTCCATTAATAGCAATGGACTATTTGAGTGGTAAGGTTGAATTTAAATAAGGATGGCACAATCCTGTCTGTAATTTCTGTCTGTCTGTCTATTGTACTTATATGACCCCCATCACTGTAGTATCTAGAGCTGAGCAATGGAGGGGGGGTATTATTTTTGCCACACACACAAAAAATTCATTTTGGGGTCTCTGAAACTATTCACAAATTTGTGACTAATTTGTCAAAAAGTTTTGCCTAAAAAAAATGAAAAATGTTTTTTCAAAAAGTCAAAATGTTTCATGTCAACCATTTTAAAACATTGTTTTGACTTTGTTTCAAAATGTTTTATTTAGAAAATTTTGAAATATTGTTTTGACTTTCATTGTGAAATGATGTTCCATTTTTAAATATTGTGCAATTAAAAGAAACCCACACAAAATGGTGAAAAACATCCAAAGCTGACTGAATCAACACAAAAAATGAAAAAAGTAATCATTTCGTGTCAACCTAAAACATTTCAATTGATTCAAAACAGGAAAAAAAAAAAAAGAAAAACTGAATTTCAGTTTGAATCAAACCAATTTGTTTTTTCACATTTTTTGGTTCAGCCCCCTGCCAATTGAAAAATCTATTATTCACTCAGCTCTAATAGTGTTTGAGTACCTCACGATCTTTAATGGATTTATCTTCATGCAGTATGTGTGTTTGTAAGGCATTAATGCACTTTTTTGGTGGTCTAAGTCATTGACCATACTACATGTCTCAGGGTTAATACCCTACTCGTGCATGCTATGGTTTGTTTCTAGCTGTATCTGGATCATTTTAAAAACACTGAACTGAATATATTGCTCCCTTTTGTCATTTTAGTCTGTTCATAAGATTCAAGAGCCTGCTAAAATGACACTAACTAATGACACCTGATTTATTTTTCTCTTCTTTTCTCCTCAAACCCTTCCACTTTCCTCAGGAAAAGTTTTTCCAGATTCCTGCCTCCGAAGTCCTTACCAGTAGTCTTCTTCAGGAGAAGATGGAAATGATCATGAATATACTTTGTCCTTCAGGAACAAAACTAGGTCAGCTTTTTGTAATCTGCTACTATATATGTAAAGTTATGTTGAATTCACCATTTATTTATTATAAATATGATGAGAACACAGACCAAATTCAATACTACAGAATTGTAAGGAAATTGTTACTTACTTTTGTTTAGTGTAATATGTTCGGTTTGTCCTTTTTAAAAGAAGGGCCTTTGGAAATAGGAGTAATAATTCAGTCCCTACAATGGTAATGAGGGTGTGCAGCTGTTCACTCATGCTGGCATGGATTCAGTTTTATATGTATACATGCATGTCCAGGCAGAGCTAGATGTGTAATTCACATTCATATGGAAGTTAACCAAAACACCTTTATTTAAAATGTAACAGAAGCATAGTGACAATTAATAGAGAATTCAGTCTGAGCCCCTCACTTTAGGCCGGATTCTTCCATTGAATGCACATACAAAGTTGGAGTACCCTTTCCTGCAGGAAATCCCTGTGGAAAGTGACTCAGGGTAAGGAAATCTCCGTGAAGATCCCATCACAGAGTTACTCTGAGCATTTCATCTGGGGGCCCAAAGTGGAAGCTTCCACTGGACTGTCTGCACAGAACTGTTTGTCTTTTCCATAGCTCTGGCCCTTAGGAGCCTGTTTCCTCACAGTGCAAGTCCAAAGCACCCAGGCACCCTTGTCTCTGGGGACCTTCTCCCACCCAGTGCAGTGGGTGTTCCATGGAATAGAAGATATATCCCTAGGCTGCATTATCTTCTCCAAGTACAAACCTTTGGTGAGAACAGAGGGAGAATAATGATACAAGTCCCACTCTGCTGCCTCCTCCTCCCAGGTGGCTCTCTGTACCAGCAGAGAGGAGAAGCGTTTCTCAGTGGAGACTGATCAACCCCTTCTGTGCATAAGAAACTTCAAAATCCATTTTTAGTTTTCCTTTTAGTCAGATGAATTATGTGTTAAAGTTCCACTTTTCTTATAAAAGCTGGAAATACTATCAAAATGTGTAATTTGTTTTTGATTTGTAGATGACTTGCCATGGTTGGAATGCTTCATCAGGTCTTATAATGTCAAAGATGGAATGGAACAGCAAGTTTGCTATCAAATTTTTGACACTATGGTTGCTGAAGACGTTATCTAGTGATATGTATTGCAATTTAAGAGACATGCAATTTATCGACATTATCGATTACAAAAAAGTTTTGAAGCTATAAACACCATACAAGGTTTTGTATAACATTTAGTGTATCATGTTCTGTCTTGAGAAATATTAATCAGGAAAACAAATGCCTTTTTCTGCATCTCACTTGTGCATGAAGGTTTTAGCTCTTCTGTTCTTGAATTAAAATGAATTGGACATATGCTAAGAGGTATTTATTACTTGCTCTGGGCCCAACCCAATGAGTCAAGTGGCAGGTAAGGTGCTCAGCACTTCATGGGATTGGTCACTGCGTGGTTGAGACTGTTAAAAGTGGTTTAATATCCAAACATTCCAAGCTATTACACAATTGAAAATTATCAATAATGTTACTAAATTCTGCTGTGACCCACAGAGTCAAATTTAAAGGGACATTGTAAAATGTAAACATGTTTTGTAATGTATGAAGAACAGTCAGCATGATTATGCTTTGTTTATTTATCTATTTTAATACAAAAGAGTAAGTGATTTGAGAACAGCTGTGGAAACAGGGCTCTTCCATTAAATTGTATTCCCTCACTTTATTCTGTACAAATCTATTTTAGGGTTCTGAAAAACCATGGGTTTTTTCCTTACTTTAATTTCTCATTGATATGTAGATTGTAGCGAGCTCTTCCTGCAGTCCTTATGTGTGCAAGTAGTGTAATTGACCTCAGTGGAGCTATTTGCATGAGTTAGAATTACTCATCTGGTTAAGAATCATAAAGTCAGTCCATAAAAGCAGGGATATTTAAAATATTAAAATGAATACTAATATTTATTAGATTATAAGGATGGTAAAGTCAGACATATTTGGGGCCATATCTGACATTGCTGCTCCTTTAAATTGTATGTGTATTTGCAGAGGTTCTTGCACATAGTTTGGCTAAATTTAGTGTCCGATTATACTGTCTCGATTGCTTTTCTCTTTTGTATAATTGGATTGGATGGCTAAATTTAGAGACAGCATTTTCAGGCCAACAAGTGACTAGTTGGCTACCACAGTGGAAAAAAATTGCGTGCTTTTACCTTGCATTCTAAAATATTTACCCCAAATTCAGAATAATTTTCTAGAGAATAATTTAAATGTAAAAATTCTTGTTAGGGGACTATGCTTCTTGTCATCAAAGGAAAAAATCACATAACATTGCACGGAATATTTTTTTTAAATAGTGCTCATAGTTGACTAGTACTTTGATACTAAATACAAATGATTTTACAGTGTTCTAAGAGATGATTAGTAGAATAAGCGATTATATCCACTTACAGTTTCATCCAAATGTCAGTAGATTTTGTGGGGTACTTTAAAAATCACTCTGGGCCATAGAAACAATGAGCTATGACCCTAGAAGTTTATCAATTATCATGTGGGTAGAAGGTGCGTTAACATTGGAAGCCGATGGTTCACTTTCAAGGAGAGGAGAAACTGTCAGCCTCATTGAATGGGACCATCAACTTGCCAAGCAAGGAACAACACTGGCATTAGTTCTGAAAGCAGCTGCTTACCTACCCCTGGCCTGATGAGAGATACTGATAAATGAATTATTTTTAAGACTTGAACACCTACGTGGGTGTCCAAATAATTTCAGTGGAATTTAACTCCTGAAGCGCTCATCCATAAGAAATATACAAGGGTTTGTTTGCTATGTAATGGGTAGTTTAATCACAAAAACTATAGAGCCTGTATTTCTGGTTGTGTTACATGACATCACAAACCATATTATGCACTGCCAATCATTAGTAGAAAGTATGTGTTAAATTGTAAATGTTTTTTAATGTAAATAAAAAGTCATGTTCCTGTACATCATTGCAGATATCTATTTTAAAGTAAACCTTTTGAAAAGTAATAGATCAGAATATATAAGGCTCACACTTCAGTGTAAATTTGTTTTCACCATCTCTAATGTTTTTGATTTGTGGCAGAACATTTTCAAGTCATTTTATGATTGTAGATATGGCACTTGAAGTTGTCTGGCTATTGAATATTGTAAATATTTAGCTGATTAATGAACATGATTTAAAATAATGAGCTCTTTGCTCACACTTAACTTTTGGATAGCTATTTACAAAACCTCTCTGCTGCCAATGGCCTTTATCCAGCAGAGCACATTCTTAGATAAGTTTGTTGAATTGGAACCTAAATAGCTAAATGTCTTACCAGATGTATTTTATGAGATTTTCAGTGCTCGTGGAAGATGTTGAATTTCTCAGAACCGAAGACCACGGTTCACAAAACTTGTCTCAATGTTGACCTTCTGGATCCTTCTTCAGGAGTGATTGAGCTGTGTTTCATCTCCATGACTGTTTTATTCCTTAATGCTTATGTGGAGACTGCCAACTTGGAAGCCAATTGCGATAGTAGCTTCTGTGATGCAGGCAGTTTCCACTCTGATCTGAATTGAGAGCACAAACTCACTCCAACTTACTGTAGGCCACAGCTGTTACAGTAATGACTTTCATTCACTACTGACCTGGACCAGATACCATCTTCTGCATAGAAGCAAGAAATTTCATCTCCCATTTTCAGTCTCTTGGTCACATTTCTCTAGTTTCAGAAACACATTTTAAAAATAAATCAAAACTGCCTTTCTGAATTGAGTGAATGAGATTGCTGAGATCCATCGGTGTTATAGTAGTTATCCATAGAATTAATTTATTACAGACGTTTAAAAATGTTAAGTTTACATTTGATATAATTAATGTTGGAAAAATCAGAATGCTTTGAATGGTGAATCTGATATCTGCGATTTCTCATGGAATGCAGAAAATTTCATTTAACATCCCCCACTTTCTCTCCACTCCTTCTGCCGCCCTTTCCTCCTTCCCCTCCCCCCCCCAACCCCCAATATTCAGTGCTTCACCATTTAAAAATTAATTGCTTGCTTATAAGGGATCATCAGTTCTCTGATGCTCTCTTCATGCTCAGATCAAAATAAAACAGCTAATTTGAGACCACTCTTCCGTCATAAATTCAGGATGTTCTCCATATGTTTAGTTTTCACTGTCTGTGAGGCATATTTTGGAATCTGCTTTAAATGTTCATGGATTTTTTTTTTGTTGCTACCTCTTCCACATAGGTTTCCATTTCTACTTTGGCTAAAATTTGGCAAGAATAACTTTTATTATGCCAACCAGTTTATAAAACACATGTTTTGAAGCCATAAAGAGCTTTGTCTTTTGGTGTTAGCAAGTTTCCTGTTTGGCCAGTGTGGCGAGCTGATCAGCACAGGTGACCATGCAGAGCTCATCAGCACAAGTGACCATAGAGTCCCAGAATCGCAAAAGAGCTCCAGCATGGACTGAACAGGAGGTACTGGATCTGATCGCTGTATGGGGAGACGAATCCATGCTATCCGAACTCCATTCCAAAAGACAAAATGCCGGAATATTTGAAAAAATTTCCAAGGGCATGAAGGACAGAGGTTATAACAGGGACCCGCAACAGTGCCGCGTGAAACTTAAGGAGCTCAGACAAGAGGCAGAGAGGCAAACGGCCACTCTGGGTCAGAGCCCCAGACATGCCACTTCTATGATGAGCTGCATGCCATTCTAGGGCGTGCCCTACAACTACCCCACCCCTGTGCTTCCCTCCTCCCCCACCCCTCCCAGGTTACCTTGGCAGTTATCCCCCCATTTGTGTGACGAATTAATAAAGAATGCATGAATTTGAAACAACAGTGACTTTATTGCCTCTGCAAGCGAAGATCAAAGGGGGGAGAGGAGGGCGGTTGGCTTACAGGGAAGTAGAGTGAGCCAAGGGGGCAGGTTTTCATCAAGGAGAAACAAACAGAACTTTCACACCGTAGCCTGGCCAGTCATGAAACTGGTTTTCAAAGCTTCTCTGATGCACAGCGCGCCCTGCTGCGCTCTTCTAAGCGCCCTGGCGTCTGGCTGCGTGTAATCAGCGACCAGGCAATTTGCCTCAACCTCCCACCCCGCCATAAACGTCTCCCCCTTACTGTCACAGATATTGTGGAGCACACAGCAAGCAGTAATAACAATGGGAATATTGGTTTTGCTGAGGTCTAACCAAGTCAGTAAACTGCGCCAGCGAGCTTTTAAACGTCCAAAGGCACATTCTACTACCATTATGCACTTGCTCAGCCTATAGTTGAACTGCTCCTTACTACTGTCCAGACTTCATGAGCCATGGGAGCAAGGGGTAGGCTGGGGTAGGTGCGACCGCGCGGTGCTGCTGACTGGGAGAGCAGCCTGAGGCAGAAGCCTCCAGCTGGCATGATATTCCAGGCAGGACTGAATCTCCATTAGACGAAACTTAAAGAAGAGAATGACCTGGAGTCATTCTCATTTTTGTCCAGGCGCCCCCAACCGACCTCACCGAGGCCGGCCAGGAGCACCCATGTCTGCCCAGTCGCCCCCGACCGACCTCACTGAGGCCAGCCAGGAGCACCCATGTCTGCCCAGGCGCCCCCGACCAACCTAACCGAGGTCAGCCAGGAGCACCCATGGGACGATGACCACGGTTAGCAGTCGTATTGTACCGTCTGCCGTCCGCAAGGCAAGGCAAGGCAAGGGGATGCTGCTGTGTAGCACTGCAGTACTGCGCCTGCCAGCAGCACCCAGGAGACATACGGTGACAGTGAGCTGAGTGGGCTCCATGCTTGCCGTGGTATGTTGTCTGCACGGGTAACCCAGGAAAAAAGGCGAGAAACAATTTTTTGCCATTGCTTTCATGGAGGGAGGGGGGCCAGACGACATGTACCCAGAACCACCCACGACAATGTTTTTGCCCCATCAGGCATTGGGAGCTCAACCCAGAATTCCAATGGGTGGCGTAGACTGCGGGAACTGTGGGATAGCTACCACAGTGCAACACTCTGAAAGTCGACGCTAGCCTTGGTACTGTGGACGCACTCCGCCGACTTAATGCGCTTGGTGGGGACACACAGAATCAACTGAATCAAATCAATTTCTAAAAAATCGACTTCTAGTAAATTGACCTAATTTCGTAGTGTAGACATACCCTTAGAGGTGTAGAGAAAAAGCTGAATTGTGTACAGCAGAAAAGAGGGATTTAAGGGTGTTTGAAACAGTGCTGCAGTGTTCTGGGTGGACCAGAGGGAGGAAAGCGTTTCCTTGACACCATAACTGCTTTACTTTATTGGACACTGTTAGTTTCTGACATGGCTATAGTTTATCTTCTCCATATACACATATAAGATGATGTTTCAAAAAAGCTGCTGTAACTTGGTCATTTGTCTTTAATTCCAGTGATTTGAAATTCATGAAACTGGTTACAAGCCCTCTATCCAGATGCTTTCTTTGTTTGCAAAATTTGTCCACTTTTGAGTTAGTGATGTTCAAATATTCTGAGTTTCAGATACAGCTTAAATGGTTGAATCTTGCAAATAAGTTAATCTTTACAGAGAAAATATGGATGACAGCACTTACATGGCTGTCTGAAAAAAAGCTGAAATTTTGATCTGAAAAGCTGTTAAATTGCATTTGCACTAGCCTACTCCTCCTGTTTCTGCATATGCATTTTGTACCATACTGTTTACTATACATGCAGTGTACAAAATGTCAGTGATTTAAATGTGGCTTTTTTGTATACTATGATTTACATCTTCACAGATCTGTTCACTTTTAGCTGTAATTTCTGTAGGCTGACTAGCAGGTAGCTATGAATTATAGGGACTGTAACTTCATTGAAGGGATTCTGGTAACACTGTCAATCAAAGAGTGCAGCTCAAGTGTCACCAGAACCCCAAAATGGAACACTACAACCCAATCATTAAAAATATACTGTATTTTAAAAATAGATCTTATTCTCCTCTCTCTCGGTCTCCGAATGACCCCTGTAGTAACTGATCCTCAAAGCATTACTGGAGCAGCTCTTCACGTGAGTTGAATATAATTCACAGGCATAATTTGAATTACCAGAGGGGATTTTTGCACTAGGAAGCAGCTACCCATGTATTGCTCTACATTAATTTGGTATTCCATCTGGAAGGATACCCTTCATGTTACTGTCTACTATGCTAAAGGTGCAAAATCCTGTCAAAATCTGAAGGAGTTGTAGTAACTGAGTCTGACATAAACCCACAAAAACAAGGAATGTCAAAGATAATGTTGCCATGCTGTCCTTAAATTTCCCATTGTGCCTAGATATCTTAGACATATGGTACAGTGCATATGGTCATACTATTCTTAGACTACTGTAATACTAAAACTGTATGAAAGTGACACCATTTACTTAAATCAATCTACCCTCTGAATTGTGGGTTTGTTTTTGTTTTTCCTGCTGTTGCTACAAGTAACACCTAAGAGCACTATAACTTGAAAGACACTAAAGAGAGGAATAATTTTTTTTTCCTCCCAGATTGTTAACACATTCGATAGCGTACTGGTGCTTTCTCCATTTTCCCTCTAGTCAGTTTTGCCTGGTGTTTGTGTGGGTCTCTCCCACAGCCATGGGGGAGACAAAAACATTTTTAAACATAGGAAATCTGATTGTAAAACCACAGAATTTAACAGGGACATTTAGAGCCAGGGACTGTACTTGAAACCACCTTCATATCTCAATTTTAAATTGACGATGTCTTTTTAATCTCTGAATTCCTTTGCTTTTGTCCGTTTAAATCTGGGCCTTATTTTTATTTGAAAAAATAGTATTTGTTTCTTGGTGGTTTTTTTAACGTATCTAGTTTAAAACTGAAATTCAGTTTTCTTGAGTTCCTATGAAAACTGACAGTGCATTTTCCAAAATATAATCTCTTTTCATCCAAAAATCTTGGTGCAAAATTGCTACACATTTTGATCTTTATAATTTGATCAATATGTTGACTACCTCTTTAAAGACTATTCCTATCCATTAGTAAACTATCCCCTTTTAAGAAGTTTGTAGCACGGTGCAGTCTCCTTTGATTGAAGGTTCACATCCACAATTGGTCAATTCAGTCCGTATTCTTAGGCGTAATCTTGGATTCCTTATTGATGCTGAGCTCCCACATTGCAACAGCTATGAGTAATGCTTTCTACTATATCCGGTGGCTAGGGGAAATTGTCCCATTTAGTGGACAAAGACCTGGCCTCTTACTCACAGTTTCATCACCTCTCAGGCTGGATTACAGCAATGTAATATACATGGGCATGAAACCTTCAGCACTTGAGAAACTCTAGTCAGTACAAGACACTGCAGCACATATCAGTAACACAGGCTATCACAAGCACATCACATCTGTCCTCTGCTCGCTACACGGAATTTCAGATCAAGTTCAAAGTCTCAGTCCTCTTCAAAGCACTCCGTGGCCTGGGCCCGGGATACCTAAACGACCATTTAAAGCTCCACGATGAGGACCGTGCTCAACAACTTCACTCCTCTGGCACAGTGAACTCTCAACAATAAGAGTGAAGTTTATCTGTGTGGAGACAGACCCTTCTCTGAGGGTGGTCTGCAACCGTGCAATGAACTTCCCCTGGAACTAAGGATTATCACCACTTTCTACTCCAAGTGTAAGATGTATTTCTTTGATCTTTCCTTCTCTAATATAAAAACATAGCATGAATATTTATTTAATAAATAAATAAAAACCCTACCAAAACAAGACACTTCACTGCACATGCTTCTCCCTCTGGGGAAAGGATGAGAGAACAAATAATATGTGACAGATGCATAGTCACGTTGCTTAATGCACTACAGGAAGGTGCCCAGATGCTACAGTAATGAGCACAGTGTGCAAACCGGAATAGAATAGTATCGTTTTAGAGAGGGTATTCAAATCTATTTGGAAGTCAGTACTATTTCTTTGCTCACCATCCCTGGAATTTGTATTTTTGTAACCATCTCCCATAAAAGGATCAGTTTACTTCTCCTGTAAGTGATAAGTTGACTATGGGCAAAATTCTGAGCAGAATTAAAATGTAAAACCCCTTCACTGAATATAAAGACTCTTTCACCTTGCCAAGCATTATAGTCTGTTACCAGTCTGTCACTTCTCTGACAAGGACTTAGTCACACAAGGATTACTTATAAAATGCCCTTTCATAGAAAGCATCTCAAGGCATTGCAATAGGAATAGGTTTCAAAGCTCATTTCAATCTCCTCTAGGACTTGAGGAAAACACGAATGTCTTTAGCCTACTTTTCAATCTGGTCAAAGAGGTATCTAATCTGATACAAATGGGCAGCACATTCTCATGCTTTTGAAACACATTTCAGAGGATGTTGAACCAGGTACTATTATTTTCAGTTTAAATGTTGAGAACACTGATTAATGTGCA